AGAAGTTTCATGCATAATCAAGTCACCCAGGGAACATCCCGCATATGTTTTCCTGGCAGAAAAACGCTGCAGAAGCAGACTGCGTTTACCTTAAGGGAACACAAAGTTCTCTGAGGATTTGGACTCTCTTGGGCAATAGGTTCAGGGTCCTCGCACGACTGGTAAGTGTTCTTCTCTATCAGGTTCCTTATTTCAACATCAAGCTCTTTACTTTCACACCTGCTTAGAAAGAAATAGCATTGTTAAGCCTTACACCAAAACTTGAAGCGCAGAGAAAGTAAATTTGTCAGCTGTCTTATGAATGTGACAATGCAGACAGCAGAGCTAGTCCTGCACCGAGCTCCTGCTACCTTCCTCCCTGGTATACAATCAGAGTGCGCTAGTACAGTGTCACACTGGCAATCTCCAAGTGCTTTGTGTCAGAAATTCCTTTAAAATATTTAAACAAGCGGTCTTTATGAATGTTACTACCTTGTGTCTACAAAATCCAAGTCCACCCTTTTGGGGATTATATGAAGACCGTCATGTGCCCTCAACCCCACCCACAGTTTCAAGCATTTTATATTCAACATCAATAAAAATGCAATCAAAATGGTTAAATTAGTTTTGACCTCCAAAACTAGGTGCTCAGTTCACAAAGAGTGTTTTTTTTCCCTGAAAGTTCCTTTTAAAAACATCCATATATTGAAAAAATTGCTCTGTTGCGAACACTAAAATGGTATTTTTTTGGTGGAAAAATTCTTTCCTTTCAGTCTCTCGGCTGAGGACTTGCATGCACTTAAGGCCTTGCTCCAAATTTGCAGAACTAACTAGTAATTAAAGCTGATTCACCTGATACACAGTAATGGTGGAATATGACTTTCAGAGAATGGACCGGAGGCATAATTAAAACAAAAGCCCTAGACCCAACCCAAATTTTCAAGAAGTACTCATGTCTTTTGCAAGCCCAGACCTTAATTTCCTAATCAGCTTAAACCAACTCTAAATATAAGTAATGCATGACCAGAAAGCAAACTGCAAGGCTCAAAAGGATTACCAACCTGTTATAGCAAGATTACTTCTTGATTTAGGCAGAAAATACTAAATTCTTCATTTGAACTACCAGAAAAACTGAAAGCAGTAAGAATTTATCAGTTATACTTATTGGAGTTTAGGCAATCCACAGGGATTGCACTGCAGGTTCTATGGAAACTCTTGAAAGGTAATTGATAAAATTATCCAATCAACAAACCCATTTATCTTGATCATAAAAGTAAAGAAGTGTGGTGAATTTCGTGCTGATAGCATAAAATGATTCATCTTATTCTCAATATTTACAACATAGAGACTATAACAGAAATGTATTTTCATGAAGCATGAATGCAAATTCATTTGCAGAGGTACTACAATAAAACACCAACAGTAGCGTATAAGGACAAGTAAAACTCAAGAGCTTTATTTTGACTTGTCACCTAGTAGTTGGACAAGCTGGAATTTCACAGCAGTCTCAGAGCTGCCATGAAGCCTGCCTGCACAAAAAAAAAAAAAAGTTTAATGGCAGAAACAAGATATTTGGATGTGTTTTGAGAGCTAGACCTACAGCATAAAGAAACAGCACTTTTACACAAGGAACCAAGACACCAAGACCAGAGTTTTTTAGCACTGGAGGGTCCTGAAGCACTAGAACACATCACATGATCTTTCTTCTCTGCAGAAAGATATTTCTACATACTAACCTTTTGCTTTTTTTTTTTTTTTTTTACCACTATAGCAACTAGCATGAGTTCAAAGAAACATGAGTACCCAACTGAAGACAGGATTGTCTTTTGTTAGACCACTTTAACTGGCCATAACTCCCTTTCAAATCCATTACAATCAAAAGACCTTCTCGATGCAAATTTTTATGAACCTCACGGAAGTGCTGCAGCTGCTCTGCACACTCATGGCAGTTTTCAAAGCCTCAGCTGCGTGTGGGTGGCAGGTGAGCCCCAGCAGCTCATGAAGAAAACTACAAAAGGAAAACAACAAACCTTGCAAAAGAAATCCAGCCCTTTTCTGTCTCGCTAAATATTGCAAAATCCTGGATAGACCAGTGCAAGTGGCACTTTTTCTTTTTTAAGCAATTCTGTGCTAAGGTTCCCAGGCAATAAATTCTCAGGTAGCAGCACGACCAAGCACTCTGCTTATAGCCTTCATTTTTAATCAGCTACATAATGCAAACTTTGCAACATAAGTAGCAACACCCCTTTTCTCTGAAACACCTTCCCTGGAAAACAGCATCTTCAGTTCATTTGAACTCCCATGCCTGACCCAGCCTAAAGATTACTTTGTGTGACAGAATTGGATATACACTGTGCAGAGCACTCTGTGCTTTTGAGGATGCTCAAAAGAATCGAAAAGCCACAGCACAGAGGCAGTCGCTCATAGAGCGGTTTCAGGAAAAGTGCATGAAATTGTATTTACATAGTAAGGGAGAAATGGCTGCAGCCTCCTTAGAGCCCCTAGAAATGTGGCAAAAGGAAGGGAGAGGTTAAGTGAGATGAAATGTTACTGAGCAGTATTGAGGGATTTAGGCCAGAGCCGCTAAAACCACAGGCCAATATTTTCAGACTGAGCTTTCAGAATGTCAGGTTTTTATCTGTGCTCAGGCAACCCACCAAAGGTAAGCTAGTTGCTCTTCTCTTTCCTTGCTCCACACACCTCTTGGGAGAGATCAGTGGAGCAACCAGCTTACCACTTAGCTGAGAGAAAAAACTGGCCCTACAAGTGGCTTCTGGTAAAGAGTATTTTGCTCATTGCCCCAGGATTGCAGTTACACATCCTGCTCCAGCTGCAGCAAAGTCAGCCAAAGTGTTTGACTCCTCTACAGCCCCAGCCACTTTCTACCTTTGCTACCTCTCTACCACAAATGACCATCCCCAACTGCCAGCACAACCCACTCACCCGGCTTGGCCAAAGTAGTCGGGGTTTCTTAAACTCTTTTTAGTCAAACAAAGCAGCTTAGACTAAACCTGTTCAAAATAAAGGAGCAATGTCTAGGTGCAGTCCTGAGGACAGTAAAAGACAGCAATCTCTGGCCAGGAGTGCAGCAGCAAGTATTTAGTCAGGCTGCACTCATCTCTGTTGCTGGTTCAGCCACAGCGAGAGGAGATGTGTGACCACAGCCTCCCGCGATCAGAGCGTGAATCAAGCTGGGAAATACCCCATAAAGATGGTGGGTTGACTTTAAATATTTCTTTTGAGCCAGGAAGTGTTCATTCCTCCGCTCTGTTCCCCGCAGTTTGTCTCACACTGTGGCTGTAAATGATGTTCACCTCTGGCTGATCACACCCTGTCTCTTTGCATTCTCCTTTCTGGGCTTCGGAGTACCTGAGCAAGAGCAGGAACCAGCTGTGCCTGGGTAAAAGAAAAGGAACCACAAAAGACTCAAATCCCTACAAAATTGATTGCTGCTCTGTAATATCCATGTGTTTCAACATGATAACGCAAATAAGAAAATTACTTCATTGACTGGATTGGTCAGTGTATTTGGTTTTCCCTCAGTTTTTAGACTAAGGTCTTCTGACCAGAAACTATTACTCTATTTATCTGTATTTTAATAATAGCTACGTTGTGATGTTAATAATTTATTGTGACATTAATCATATCTGGTATATAGATTCCTCTCACAGTCTGGACTTTCAGAGCACAAAGATGATCCGAGTTCTTGAATAAGTCTTCAAGATACTGGTGATTAGGAGCTACCCCAGAACAAGACAGTTCTTAGTAATTACCTGAGCTTCCCCTGGTGAGCTCTAGAGGGCACACAGCATTTAGCTTCCGCACAAAGCAACTTTTTCAAAACTACTTTTGGTTTTGTGAAGTTCACAGGTACATTTCTGCACCATTAATACCCTTCCTGTTCTACGCTGTTGCCACCATCTTTTAAAATTAGGTATTTCACAGAATCACAGAATCGCAAGGGTTGGAAGGGACCTCGGGAGATCATCTAGTCCAACCCCCCTGCTAAAGCAGGCTCTCCTAGAGCATTCTACACAGGACTTCGTCCAGGCGGGCTTTGAATATCTCCAGAGAAGGAGACTCCACAACCTCCCTGGGCAGCCTGTTCCAGTGCTCTGTCACCCTTAGGGGTTTAATAATTAAATTATGCAAATAGGCCATCTGCTAGAAAAAAAAAAATCAGAAAAATTAAATCCACTCAAATTTGGGAGATACAGTTTTTTATGTTTTGTAAAATCAATCATCAGAGAATATTAAAAGCATTTTCATGTGGTCACATGGGACAAAGTATATCCCCACTATGTGCAAAAGCTTTCTAAAGTATATGAAGATTTAAAAAATACACAACTCATCCTACTTACATAGCATGTTATGGTTAATGCAGAAGCCAACAAAAGATTAGAGTATTCACTTGTCTCTGTAAACTTTGCGTTCGTTGCTAAATGTCCTATTTTGGGAAAATTAAGACGTTTCACACCGAAACAGAACCTACAGATGTAATGAAGGAAGCTAGTCTCCCAAAATACGTTTTAGCAGCTTGCACAAAAAGGAGAAACCCCAACCTTACCCATAATTTGCATGTCATATCTGAAAAGTAGTAGCCAACATCCTTCTAGCCACATGCTTCAAGAATAAGAAATTACATCTGTTCTCTTTGGTTTGCAAAGTTGCCATATCCATATGGCTAGAGACTACCTGTGCACCACATTAAAGATATTTTCATTTCTCCCACATATTCACCTAGCTGCCTTTAAAATGGTTTTCACTTTTTGCTCTATGGTACACCTTTGTGCCATTTCAATTTCTAGGCTTTATTGGCTTCTTGTAATTAATTACTTCTAAATGGTTGCATGTACAAGCCCCATGCAGAGTCCCAGCTCTGCAGCTGGTATCATTTGTGAGCTCTTGGCTCTCCCTGGTTTTCACTGGAAACTGGCATTATTGCTTACCAATAGCAGTTACATGGCTACTACGGACATACCTGCAGCATGTGCCAAAGCATTTAGTGCAAAATATTAATACCAAAGGCATATAACTATTTGAAATAATAATTTCAAGGCTGCTGTGCTGGGGTCATTCTCCTGTGATTGGTGAAAGCACAAATACACACCGTAAACAATTGTGATAAAAGGTTTTAAGCCAGGATTTACAGCCAGATGCCAACACCATGGAGTCATATTTTGACGGGAAATGAGTTCCAGAGTCTAGGGGTTAAACATATGCTTCATCCCCTTGGGTGGGCATTTGGGACGTAGGATTCTTGCTTGGCTAAGCCTAAGGAGCAGATCCACGGAAAGAAATACTTTTCTGCATTTGAATTACGGCGGATGAACTGGTTTGGATAAATTAAAAGACGTGGCAAATTTCAAGCCTTTTCCGCTAATATTCCCCGTATTTATGATAACGCACTTCATTTCAGAAAATGGCCTTTAGAATATGGGAAAGAATGAGATCTGGATTACAGAATATTAAATTTAATTTGTACTAGAAATAGACTTAAAATAGGAATAAAATTAGGCATATTATTCTTCAAAATGACAGTTTATCCGTAGAACTAGCTTATTCTTTTATGTACCATATGATTTTACAGGATTTTGGCTTTCTTTTAATTCACTTCCGTAGAATTCTTAGATTTTTTTCATATAAATACATTAGGATTTTTATATTCAAATCTTATCCCATTGAGACTAAATGACAAAGAACTTCTGGCCCAAAAAGCAATGGGAAGAACAAAATTTTGCCAAGAAAATAAAAATACTTTTGTTACAGGAAAAAAAACTTATGCAGCCTCATGAGGTCTTAAAAGTTTAGTAGATTCTGAGCTGACAGAGAATAGTTACAACATGGTGCAGTTCCCTAAGGATCAGTGGTGCTATTCTAGTACTCAATACCCAGCGAGCAGCTCTCCGCTCAAGAGTTTAGGCTTGGGAATTTGCACCAGATCTCTTGAAATTGAGCTCTACTAGGTTCTACGTTCCACCTCACATGTACCAATATAAAAAGCGATTTATTGGGCATGAAGTGTACTGCGCTGGTACAAACACAAAAAGAACACCTGCCTTTGACAATTATGAGGATATACTTAAAAAGAAAGTCTCAAAAAAAAAAAGGCAACACATTGTTTCAAACTATTTCCAACTTAATTTTTAAACTCAAGTTTCACAAAAAAAATTCACCCAGTATTTCACCAGCAGCAGCTGAGATCCACCTAGCAGAGGAAATGCATTGTCTTTAGAGTGAGATGTCCCAGATGTTGTGAAGAAAGTGCTGGCACTGTTGCGCAGGAGGCAAGTGTGAGATTAGAAATAATCTCACTCCAGTCCCAAGAAGAGAGCACCATAAAGCAAGGTGTATGATAGGGGTTAAAACATGTACATACTGCAACTGTAGCAGAGAAACCACTTAAACTTTCGCTCAAATCTGATGTAGCCAAAACATCTGCCTATCACCCCATAAACGTCCCTACACTTCTGTTCCCTTTACGACAAAGGAATGGAGCTTTTAAGGCACATTTAATAGCCAGCAGCTGTTTGGCTGTCAAATGCCACATCTGGAGAAGCTGTGTGCTGTTAATGTGAACAGAAACAATTATTCTTTAATAGTTTTGCTTAATTTTAAGAATTACACAAACCACAACAACAAAAGAGGTGCATGTTCTTAATGGAAACACATCTGGTTTCTCTGAAAATAAGCCCCCTCTACCCCCCCCCAAAAAGGGCCCACTGATTATTGAAGCTGCACCTATATCTATCCTGTCTCAGTGAAGAGAGAAGCAAAGCTACTGATACAGAGGCACTTCAACTATTCCCCTCAACAAGTATGCAACATGCAAGAAGACAACGACTAGCTAGTTTGCCTTAAAAGGCACATTAATCATCACATGGTGCTGCTCCCTCCGTGCCTGGCGGTTCCTGTCCTTTGGGACTGGGTTTCAATGCTGCCACCTCACTTCTGTACCCTATACAGCCTGTATGTCAGGAAAATAACATCATTGCTCTTTCACTTAGATCTTCTGCTTAATTATACTACCAAGACCATAACTGAATTTCTTCCTGATGGACAGCATTTGGGCTGAGTTCAAACCTCAGGAAAGCCAATTAGATTACTTTCACCAACTTTCTTGGACTTTAAATGAGCCATGAGCAGGTTACAAATGGTCGTCTCTCTGGAGAAGCAGTAAATGGAGCATTGTCACCCAGACACATCACCCAGGACTTGCATAGCTGTGTGTGGATCGCTAGTGGAAAGGGAATTGAAGTTCTGCCAATCAAAATCAGTCAAAAGTTCAGCCAAGCAGAGCCACCATGTAGCACGTGCTTTCCGATCAAACGAATTCCCCAACTGAAACGCACACATACAGAAAGCTGGTGGGAGATGGCAGGAAAGTGTTGAAAGAACTGAAAACAAAGAGTGAAAAAAACAAGAAAGGAGACAAATCTAGATGTTTTTAAGCACTTGCTCTTTTTCTATAAAGACCAATAGCTAGAAAAGCTTGTACCCCTTTTAGGGAACTCTCCTAGACTTAGTAGGTGCCTTTTTGAAACAGTCCCCTTCCCACAGCCCGTTCTGGACCGGCTGCTTGCCCCACAGATACAGCTTGAGCACCACGAGCCTATTCAGATCTTACACGTACTCATTTCTGTGGAAAGCTGCGATTCTGATGCAATTACATGGATGACATTTTTAACCAGTACTTTACACCACTATTCTTTCTTTTCCCAAATCAGGCATGACCACAAACAGAACAAGACCTATCCACAGCTCATTTTGCCTCCTAGTTCAGCCTTGGCCAGGATGTGGACGCATCACCAACACCTTACTGACCTGGGCTCACAGCTGGGCTGCACCCTTGGAGGAGAAGTCTACAATTCATTTGGGTCAGTGTCCCACACACAGACCTGAGATATTTTCAGTGATCTTCTAACAGTGCAAGCAGAATAAACAGATGAACACCAATTGGAAATGCAGCCAGGAAATTTAACATACAGTAGCTGATGGAAGACAATCACCTCCATTAAGTCAAGCCAACTTCTTGCCTGTGGTAGCTGTTAGGCAGCCAAGCTCAAAGGTAGAGGAAGCTCGCTGCACGTCTGTCTGTGCCACAAGTCCAGGGCTTGAACTGCCAGCGACTGGCATATGGTTTCACCAGGGATGGCATCATCAGATGGAAACCTGGTGCCTCCCTCCCTTCACAGAGACAAGTTGGAGTCAAACTACACTGGCAGCAGCTCACAATGTCTTGAATAAATAGGAAAACCCAGTCTGCAAAGGATTTCAAATCCAGTTATTTCACAATAAACTAACCTGGGGAAAAAATGCTTTTTACAGGAAGAAAGAAGGGTAGAGTATGATTTCTCAAGCTTCTCCAAACAATCTACAATTATGTTAAAACAATTTTTCTTCTTATCTCTTTCTCAAATCCACACGCTATACTTAATACTTTTTAAAGCTACCTTTTAATGAGTCAGCTGCCTCAAAATTATTTTTTTTTTTTTTTTTTGGCCAGAGCTTATCTTGCTGAATACAGCAGTAGTCACTCAAGTACGCAGCACTATTAATATTCTTAAAGCTCCTTATTACTCGCTGACAGTCTTAGAAAGGCACTACCATCATCACAGCCTCACTAGAGGCTGTAGTCATAATATCAACTCTTCATACCCTACAGTACAACCTCTTTTACTGCCATTATCAGTAGAACTAACATTAGCTCTTGAAGAAGTAGGTGCCCAAAGAGGTCGTGAGATCTCCATACTTGGGAGACACTCAAAACTCACCTAGACAGGCCCTGAGTAACCTAACCTAACTAGCCCTGCTTTGAGCAGAAGGTCAGGTCCAAATTACATCCAGAGGTCCCTTCCAACCTACACTACTCCCTATGATTTTGCTCTTTTCAGTACAGAAAATTTCCACGGTGCGTTTATTTAAACAGAACTGATACAGATCTCCATAGGCCAGATTAAAGCAGGGAAAAAAAAAAAAAAAAGTATTAACCTGGGTCTCTAGAATATAAATTGATTGACATATGCAGGAAACGCTCAACTACGTATTTCCAATAATGTGACATAAATTAATTTCTAAAAAAATAAAAGTAAGTTTCTCCATGTAAAATAAAGATAGTAAATACCTTTCCGTCTCAACACACTGATGGGGGCGCAATTCCAGACAATCCTCTGCATCTTTAGTCTTCCTTTTGAGCTGCTCACAGTGAATCTGTTAGAAACAGGGAGGAAAAAAAAGCAGATTTTAAGGGGAAATAAAAAGACTAACAGTCTAGGAAGAAAAATTTAAGTATGCAATTACAACAGGAAGAGATAACCATGTCTTGCCTGCATGTCTGTTTTCCTCTTCATATACCATAAATGGCTGACAAGCAAGCCAGGAATCTACTTCTTCCCTTCCGGCATCATCCTCTCTTAAGTCCACCACTCTGTCAGAGACAGTTTTGCAAGGGTAGGAGCAATAACAGTCTCTGTCTGCAGTGGCAGGAATACACCCAAGGAGCAGAGCTGTCAGCAGTCACAGGAACAGTGGAAGTGTTGCAAAAAGGGCTTTTATTATTCATACTAAAAAAAAAAAAAAAATCAACTATCTTAAATACTCTAAAGTTCAAGCATATCCTAACATTGACCAGAAAGTTCATATGCTTCATGGAACCATCCAGTAAAACTACTGCTCCAAATTTAAGAGAATTTGAGTAATGAGTCTGATCTAGATCACTTGGAGAGAAAAGAAAAGCAGCCATGTATGAGTTATTGTGCATGAGTGCGTTGTTCAAGAACTATACAAGCTCCTAACAAGCTTCCCCTGGTCAGGGCCAGCTACTGTCCAGCACTGCGTTTCCAAAGAGAAAGGAGAGAAGAAAAAACACACCCCTCTCAGAGAAAAGGACACACATCAGGGGTAACAGTAAGCAGTCCACATTTAAATATTCCCTTTTGGATGAAAACTCAAAACAGGAAAAAAAAAAAAAAAAAAAATCAAGCTTTTTTAATTTTATGAGGTAGCACCACCTCTCCATGACGAAAGGGAGAAGAGATGGTACAAAGAGTGAGCCAACGCAACCTCATCCAGAGGAGTCGTCGTGCTCCCAGCGCTGCAAGCTGGTAGCAGCCCTGGGTGTGTTTCTTCAGGCTATGTGGGACATCTCTAGTTCATCAGAAAAGGAGCCCAGAAGTCTTATTCTTCTCTTTAGATCAAAATGACAAACAACAACATTATGATAGTTGCTGGAATTAGAAAACTGGCAGGTTTCACAACACTTATCATAAGGACAGCAATGTGACCACTGAAATAAAGTGCAAATAAAGAGCAAACCCTGCTATTTATAAGAAAATAAGTTTTCAATTACAAGTCACTCTCTTTATTGGTAACATCAACTTAATGTGAAACCACAGCTGAACATTTTATAGAAACCATGCTGCTTCATCTATGTGCAGAGCAGAAATTTAAAATGAAAGGCTGCCAGGAGAAGATCTGAGGTGTTTGGCTTCTCTCCCCCCTCTTAATTCCCATTCCTGCAGGCTTTTCACACATTTTAAATGCATCTGGTAATCACTAATTACAAGGATCCTATTAAGAAAAAATGTCAATTCAGTTTCATGCGAAACTTGATTCCAGCTTGTCCAAGTTTTATGAGTGTCTGGTTAATCATAACAAAAACATGTTGAAGTATAGAAAGCTGTATTCGTTTTATTTCAGTGGGAGCTGCAGACACTGGGTACTAATGAGAATTAAGCCTTATTTTGAAGTGCCTAAACTTGGCTTTTAGGTGTCTACCTTAAAAATATAAAATTTGAAAAATCTTGACCTAGAATGAACACTCCCTACCACCACTGAAACAACAAAAAATGACTAAATGAAATCTGACCATACTTCTCTGAATTTTAAAAAAAAAAAAAACAAAACCCACCCCGCAGAATTCAGGCTGCTACTCCATCTCTAATTCACCCCACTGGGTATAGACATTTCAGCAGTCTCAGATGCATTTGCTACTGAAAAGAAGATACCTGTGTTGGTAAAATTCACGCAAGAAGCAAAGAAAGTTCTGAAAAACTGAGAAGAAGAAAAAAGCAGTGAAGAACATAGAAAAAGGTATTTATTTATTAGACATGTCACTTCCTGGTTCTGCAGTGACAGGATGGCGAGCCAGATTCGGGGGCCTGCAGGGAAGGGGGTGCTGCACACTCCCTGCTGGGGAGCGCTCTGGGATGGTGTAGTGGGTGCTCTGGTTTTCCATGGCCCTGCCCTGCCAAGCCAGGGAAATGCACAGAAAGGAGCTGCTAAAGGTGACAATTCCCAAATCACTGCGTGGCCCAGCTGCACACCCAGCCCGCATGAACAAGCAGTTCTCCAGAAGTCCTACTGCTAACATCTGCTGGGGTGGGGGGGTCCCCTCCCCTGTGGCTTGACAAGGTCCATTGTACGTATCTTCTGACTCTTAGTCATATGCAGATTTTGCAACGTGTCCCTCAGTGCTGTGTACCTTAATTTAACGCATGTCTATACAAGCCAGCCCAGATAGCAGAAGCCATTTTGTTATCATAGCATGGGATTACATCCACCCTCTTCTATTCAGTCCAAGATATGAGAAAAAGTAGTAAAAAGGTATCTGCAGTGATAGCTGGCATGATCCACTGAGCTGAGCACAGTCAGGCTAGGGCCAGCTAGGCAGCATTGCCACCTGCCTTGATTTGCCTCTGCTGTTTCCCAAACTATTGATGCACAAAGGACTGTTGATGCAGAATAATGGGCTTTGCCTTTCATTTCTTGTGGGTTTTTGGTAAAGTGTGTCAATTCTGAAAGGCTTTTTTAAGTTTGGTTTGTTTTTTTTTTTAAATAATTTTTTTATTCTTCACAACAGAAAATTTACTGCAATGAATCTGACCTGTGTTGGCAGCACAAGTTGTACTAAACCTAAATCTACAGCTATGAATCTGAATGAAAGAGAAGCAATTAGGTTATTGTACCGTGCGCAAGTGTTTGTTATTAAAACAACCATAAGTTTTTATAGCTATAATATGCAATTTAATGCTGTAGGTTTTTATTAGATCAGACAAATTGAAGCCAAGATGGATAAAATTCAGCTACTTCAAAGAATTAAGGCTCTCTAGAAAACAGTCGGTTATAATGGTCACGTAAAGGATTGCTCAGAATAACATAAATTTTCTGCCTTTTATCAAGGCTTTTAAGAACAGGAACACCCTGAAGTAAAACGGGATCAGTTTTGCTCACAGATTTATGAGGTTTCGCAATAATTGAAAATGTTTGGTAAAAAGCATGCAAAATTTCCTTGGTGCTCACCTACCACCAAAAAAAAAAAAAAAAAAAAAAAAAAAAATCACTTTTTGGTTGGAGTATTAATTTGCATTAAAACCAAGTAAGTTTTCCATGAGCAAAAAATACATCATTCAAGAAAAACAAGATGACTCCCTAATTCTAATAAAATCTTAATTATAAAAACGATCACAGCCAGACAGGCACTCATCATGCTGGAGTTTCAAAATGTTATCCAAAAAGCATTTCACAGATTTCTGTATTGTAAATGTTAAATCCTGCACTGCTCTTGCCCCATTCTCTTTTTCTTTCTCCAAGTCTAGTTCTAGCTTAAGAGCATCCTATTTTCCCAAACCTTCCCTCATTTTCCTCAAACTCGCTCTGTAATTCACTTGTTCTCCAGTTGTACCAAAGTAGTATTTTGTGGGAATGCAATGTAAAATGAATGTCAGAAATGACCCAGCCTAAAAGAGACAGAGAAAGGAAAGTAGATTTTAGGGGTTTTTTTGGTTTTCCTGCCTAGATCAGCTCCATGATTCAATTTTACAGACCAACACCATGAGTGGACAGATTATGACAGCGGAGGGAGCATAGAACAGGTAGTATGCCAAATAAATGGAAGTACATACTAGCAAATTGTATGTAAGAAATAAACCCATTAACAAGTTAGCCTTTCAGTGAGACCCATTTGTGTATTGCGCAAGATCCCTGGCCTGTCACAGCCAGGCCGAGTAAACTTACCTCATTTAAGTATTACCCATATTGCAAAATAGCTCTGGAACAAAGTGGAACATATATAATCATAAATGCTCTTGATAAACAAGCTAGCAGGTTATACATTATCTGTGTGTGGCTGTTGTGTAGGAGGAGTGGGAGGGCAAAATGGACTATTACTGTAAATGTGATCAAAATGGAAGAACAACCGAAGAAATAAAAAAGCACTTGATGAAAGAGATCCTAAGCAACACTCATTGAAACTGATCTGAAGTAGGACTAAATCCTTCAAGATTTTTTTCCTCTGAAGAAGTCGTCAAACATATAACATTTCTGTGATCTCCTCCTACCTAAATATTCCCAGGTTTGGTATTCATAATAGCACTAGCATGCAGCCAGCCTTGAACCAGCCATTGCATTACGCGTCCTTCTGCTTTTGCAACCAACCTCTTCACTGAAAATGCAGCTTCAGTCATGTAAATGCAGCATAAGAAAAAAAAACCACAGACAAGCACAGCAAGATCTGCCAGCTCTCTCCTCCCCCCATTATTTCCTGATAAAGTGCTGAAACTTCAATATTAGACAGTTTCTAACCAAAATTTCAAATGTGAATCTTGATTTTTGCCAAAAATAGAGAGTAGTTTGGTTCCTCAGTGCTGTCTTGCCTGATGTAGTTCTGACAAAAATCAAACTGGTACCTGCTCTGTGTGATGCAGGAAGATTTAATGCCGAATAGTTAAAACTGATCTCACTATTAAGTACAATTCTCCTTGGTTAGGGTAACGGTAGATTCAGAACAGCAATCACCCTGAAGAACTTAATTCACAAATGCCCTCCCACATAAACAGCCTATTTACATTTCTTGAGATAACCTCAAACTATGCAGCAACTGAAGTAAATTAAAACCCAAACCAACAGAAACCCCTTGAAGTGGACCAGACCAAGGAACGAGCCAATTAAAGGCTGAACACATTATTTCTACCCAGAACTGAACTCCAGGCTTTCAGCATAGAGCAGATGGGACTCGGGAGAGGCTCTGCGCTGCGAGTTCTTTGGCTCTGGTCCAGGAAAGGAAAACGTGCAGCATAATCTCTGCATTTGCTTTGTCGTACTGGATGTAGCAGGGTGACTTTGCACAGATAGACAGTGCCTGTTGTATATATAGCTCTTCGGTCCTGCGAGTGCTCGTTCTCCACCACTGGGTGGGTGAAAATGCTTCTGTT